GGACGCTCACGGCCTGCCGAGAAGGCCGAAGGTCGCGGACACCCGCCGTCCTGTGGGGCACAGCAACTCCGGGGCTGCACGCCCGCGCCCACTGGAGCAGCACGGCCCCGACACGCGTGCCGGTCCTCTGGCGAGGCAGTTCCGTGATGAGACGTGCGCCAGGCTCCAGTCCTGCACGTGACGACAGTGGGCCTGTCCCTGCATCAGCTCTGGCTTTGTCCCCAACGAGGCGGGCCGGAGGCGTGACCGTGGTCCGGAAGGGCCTTAGGCAGCAGATCCCAGTCTCCCACACCTCCAGGCTCCCGCCTAGAACCGTCATGGGACGTGACGCTTCACTGTGCTGCTGCCGCCCCACCTCCCTGCCCACTCGCGTGTCCCGTGTTCAAGTCCGGGCAAGGCCCTCTGTGGGGCCAGGTGCAGAGTCATTGAGCAGGCCGGAACCACGCGAGGAGGCTCCCACTCATGTCCCAGTGCCTCCCGTACACGCCACTTACTCACGTGTGTGCTTGGGCCTGGCTGCGGCTTGTGGGTCCCCGTGCCAGGACCCCGTTGGAAGCCCGCTCGCCCGCTGTCCCTCTCATGGAAGAGATCAATACTTTCTAAAAGAAGAGGGAAACTGTTCTCAGAGGCAGACAAGACCCCTCCCCTCTGCCTGTGGAGCAACGCCGGACAGGCCACGTGGGCCTTCTGCCACAGCCTCTCCCGGAGAGTCCGCTCCTCGCGTGGGGCAGGCTGGGCTGAAGGCGGGGCCAGCATTTCTCATCAGCTGCTTTCTGTAGTTTTCACGGAAACCCCTCTGTAAGATCCCAAATATGGCTGTGTGGTCTCAGAGAAATACCAGCAATCGAGCAAGTTCACCTTCAGCGAGGCCCTCACCCGTCACTGACCCTGGCCCTCAGGGCTCCAAGAACTAGAAAGAGTGAAGAGCCGTGGGGACGACCCGCAGAGGGCTTGCGTGATGGCGCGAAACCATGGTCTCAGCTCTGCCCAGCACGCCTCCCTCGGATCTCCTGTGCCCCTGGCTCCTCTGCTCACAAGGACCCAGTCGCTGGGTCACAAGCACCCAACACTCCTGCAGGCCTCCACGCCACCTGTGCCCCACAGTTTTTCATAATACGCCTTTTCTGTGAAGTTTTTAAAGACTCCCTCATGGGTCGGGGTGGACAGGAATCAAAGGGGCGACCACAGGTCTGGGGCTGCCGAGTCACCAAGAGCCACCAGCAGGGCCCAGCCCTGGCCCTCCCTCTGCCCTCTGCCCAGCCCAGGTCCCGTGGCTCCCAGGGAAGACAGACTACGTGGCCTGGGTTTGCCTGTGGGAAGTGCTCGGCAGTGACCGGGGCGCCCTCCGCATCCCACCGGTCAGAGACAGGCCCTTCCACAGCCCAGGCCAGGGACCAGCCGGGAGAGGCCCAGCGGAACCAGCTAGACCCACTGAGCCTCCTGGGGGCCACGGTGTCCGGAGGGCAGGCGTGTGGGCACAGCCTGCTGCAAAGGGGGCCCGCCTGCGGCACACAGCCAGAGGTCTCGGACACGCTTCCCCGAGAGCCTGAGGGCAGGCACATGGAGCCGGGCACCCAGCGAGGCAGAGAAGCGGGCCCCAGCATCAGGACCGGGAGGCCCCGGGGGACACGAACGAGGCCTGCTGTGGTGACAGGTTTCACGGAGGCAGCCTGGGTGATGGGAGGCTGAGCCACGGGGTCTCCCAGGCCGCCTCTGCCCACCAGGAAGGACTGAGGTGGGCTCCCTGGGGGAGGCTGAAGACTCTGAAGTCAGAGGTCAGAGCCTGTGGTCCGGCCTGGCCCTCCACCATCCCTGGGGCCCGCGAGCGTGCCCGACTCCAGGGCTGTGCTCAGCCACCCTGCCACCCCCAGCCTGCTACCTCACAGAGAGGAGGGTGACCTGAGGGCGCAGATGGACCCTGCCAGAGCCCGTGACACCCACAACCCAGCCATGACGGTGGTCACATGTGGAGGCCTGGCCTGGGGAGGCCCTGGGTCCCTGAATGCTCCTGCTGGGCCAGCTTCCACTGTGGCCAGGAAAGGGCTCTGCTTCCCTGCCTGGCCTGTCCGCTAGTGGCAGGTAGCAGTTTGTACACGTGTGTGTGTGTGTGCAAACAGGCATGCACATGCATGGCTTACACGTGGATAAAACCGTGCACATGTGCCGCATATGTGTGCACATGTATGGCATGAACGTGCACATGCGTGGGCCCCCAGGCGCGGGCCCCTGTGCCCACTGGTCCTCAGCGTCCCCTGGCTCCTACTGCTGCCTCCTGGGGGTCTGCGAGGACGGCAAGGAGTGTGAGGTGAGGTGCACGGGGCTAGAGGGCCCCAGAGGCAGCGCCCCCTCCCTGCAGGCCCTGGCCCTGTGTGAGTGGGGTCAGGTCCCCAAGTCACATTCACTCTGGTCTGGGTGCGGAGATAGTGCAGAACACCCGGGGCCCCAGCCCAGCCCAGCCCAGGGCCTGAGTGGATGGGCCACCACCATTCCAGGCAGGTTCCCACCCTGGCCACATGCCCCGCCTGCTTGCACTTTGACAGCATGGTACCTCTTCCTGGAAGCCTCCCCTGGCTCCCCCAGCCCTTCCTCCTAGGCACACGTGCAGCCTCACTGCCCGGCCAGTCCAGGTGGGGCTGAGGTCACCTTGTGCTGGGGCCCTAACCCCACAAGGTCTCTCGCAACGCTTCCGGCTGCAGTCTCTGCAAGCTCACCTCTCCCTGGCCCAGAGCCAGAGCAGCAGTGTGCGCATGAGGGCACCAGGCGTGCCGATAAAGCTTTATTTACAGCATGGACAGCCACGGGCCAGTCTGCCGACTGCGGTGAGTTGGGCCACGTGGCTCCCTCAGCCCTTGGTGACCCCTAGACGCCTGTGGGGCACCCGGGCAGTCCACAGCCCGGCACGTCTTTCCTCAGATTGTGCATGACACCCCAGTCAAGGGCAGGGCCAGCTCACACTCACGGGCCTTGCCCCGGGCGGGCACCATGCCTGACGCAGACCTGCGTGTGAAGACCCCAGGGCCTGCGGCATGTGGTTCGGGTAGGGACGCGGACAACCACCGAAGGACAACCAGTCGTGTAGAACTGGACGGAAGGGAGCCGGGTGCCAGAAGGCAGCGGAGAGCACAGGGCAGGGCCTGGTGTGTCTGCCCGGCCGGGAGGGGTCCCACAGGGGACCTGGGCGCATGTCGGGGGCTCGCTTCCAGAGGAGGTGGGGGAAGGGAGCCCC